TTGAGATCAAGTCGCGCGGTTCCACAGCAGTTCGCAAGCACCTCCACGACCTATATCAGCGGAGGCGCCCTCAACGACAAGATCACGCGTCTGCAGCAGCTGCGCAGTGCTGCAGCCGTCCAAGATCCCGATCGCCAGGATGCCCTTGAGCTTGTAGCTAGTACGTAGACACTCGCACAGAACAAAACGACGAAGATAAGAGCGAAATACAGTTGCATGTTAGCAAACTATTAGTCATCGAAACCTTGGCACCAACAACGCGCACAAGTCCCGCTAGAACCCTACAAAGCACGCAGCAGCATTGGCACGCCGTACACGATTCATGGCTGCAGCACGTGGCACGCTTCCACCTCTGGAATGATGACAGCGGCTGGAGTTGAACCAGCTACCTCAGGGCAAGCCCTGCGCTCTTCCGGTGAGCTACGTCGTCGGAGGGGGGATGGAGGTGGAAGCGGCTACCTGCAGGGCCAAATTCGCGACGAGTCGGGCTGGAAGGTCTGGGGGGTTCGGCCTGAAAAAAGACGACTGGCAATGCCCCCTCTTCGTCGGCCGAACCGAAGAGCTACTGTGGCCTTCTTTATCTTTTTGTGGCTGCTGGCCATCAGCTAGCCACGTGTCTATCCACTTATGCGTGGGCATGTTTAATTGGTACATATTTCTACCCATAGGCATACACAGCAGCGACTGGTTGTGAGCACTCTTAATAGTGGGATCCGCCACGAAAATCATGGCCTCATTACTGAATTTACCTGCCCGAGAGCACATGGCTCCGGCCCAATTTGATCGTTTTTTTTTTTACCTTTTCTTGATTTTCTCAGCCCACAGACAGTTTCCTTGCGCCTATAGACTAGGCTTAAAACAGACCTTTTGACCTTTCGCATCTTTTCCCATCTCCCCTAATCATTCAACAATTACCGTGTTTGTCAGTCAAAAGTTTTGGCACGCTGTACAATGATATGCAAGGTGTACCATTTCCTTGGGACCGGTCGGAGAGGTCATAAGTTATGGTATGGGTCTGTGTGGGAAAGGGTTCTGCTTACAAAATTTACTAAAGTTCAAATTTAACTGGCCGATCTTTGAAGCCGTTTTTCTCGATATTTCCAAATGGTTCGTAAGTATTAGTTCGTTTGACGCCGTCTCAAATACAATTGGTGCGCCTCCAAAAGCACTTTCTTACAGAGAAGCACTAAACAACGGAAATCGTGTTACAAAATGCAAAATCACAGTCGTGGAGGAGAAGGGTCGGACTCTTAATGGTCAACGTCTATAGTTCCCATATACCCCTAAAGGCCTATTAATGCCAGACCGTCGGATATACACCTGGATAAAGCATATGTTTTTTCTCTTAGTCAGTCTAGATATGTAAATTCCGTAAAATTAATTAGTCAGCCAAACTATCGCCGTCATTCAACATGATATTTGTAAATCGAAAGGCCTAATTATGGACTACTACAGAATTATTTTTGAAGTCAGGATAGAAATTCCGTGTGGCCCGGGAGGCTATACAGATGAATCCTTCCGTAGTCATAACGCCAGGAACCAGTATTTTATTCCTAGCTTACTATCGTGGGGTGGCCCAGTCAAGTGTACCTTCTTAGTGGTACACATATAAGCAACAAGATATGCATTTCATTTTTGCGTGTGCGGCCCTCCCAGGTTCTCCCACACTCGTCAATTGAGCTAGTGCCAACAAAATGTCAGTCAAACCTTATAAAGGGTTAACAAACCAGCCCGCATCTCGCTCACTAATACCCCAACCTATCCTGCAACCGTGTGTAGCCGCTGGTGGGCTTTGGCGTGGTCACTCTCGATGGTTATCGTGCTGGAGTACTCGGTTACAACAGCTAGCTGAGGAGCTCATTCAATCTGGTCGCTGTCGCAGCGACCATTTCAAGGAGCAGGGCTACTTGTAGCTACTAAAGTCTTTTATAGTAAGGCACTGAAGGCAACTTTCCAGCTAACCGTCAAGTACGTCATAAAGATGCGGTTTCACAGGCTCAACCTCTGACGTGAGTTTGGGCAGCATTAAGCGCCATAATCTAAGGCCTACGATGAGGGTGGATCAGAGGTGGACGCCTCGATTAGCGGCCAGCTGCGATTCTTTTAACTTGGGCGAGGCCGGTTTGTTATTCTCCATGCGAACCCTCGCCAGAAAGCGCATGTTCGGTAAAAAGACGGACAAAACACGAATGACAATTACACTTACTGTACGTGCAACGTAGACGGTTGCCTCCTTTACGGTGCTCATTGGCAAGTCAAGCAAGTTTCGTGGTTTACTACAGAGCGGTCGTGCACAATAGTGATTTCCCCCTAGTTAAATACCTCAAAACAACCGTTTTTTGTATTTCGTATTACAAGAGAGGTGATACGTTTTAAAATATTATAAATAGGCTGCTTGGCCTAGGGGCTACAGTGTACTCCCATACGGGGCTCCCATCACCCAAATAGCGTAATATGTATCAAACAGTCCAGTATGACCATCACGTGCTGGTCAACAAATCTACTCAGCGAATTCTTTGTTGCGTGTAAACAGCGAATGATTGCCAAACACTTTCATGAAAAGGACTACAACTATGACAGATTCACACCATTTCTGTATTCACATCGACATCACAACCCAGAGACACAATCCAGACGAAGTCAATGCCGTGCTACGACTTAATAATAGAAGAACCCTTCACTGAACCGATGTTGTCACTAGATGTCCGCCCTCCTTCGCGTTTAAACGAAACGAGTGGACAGTCAAGGTGGCGTCCTGAAGGGATCTATTTTGAGGCCCAGGACCAGTTTTCTAGCCGCAAGCAAACCGCTATTGCGGCGTCAAAACAAGCATTGCAGCGCGAGCGCCGTCGCAACAACCAGAGACGTTACAGGCATAAGCAGATTGCCTCAACCACGAATCTCGAGATAGAAACGGATCATTTACGTGATGAAATCAACCAGCTGAAACGACATCGCTCTGATATCGCTGCGTCCATTCCGACCAAGGAAAACGTCTGGTACTTTGTGGTCGAGTACTTTCGACTCTTTCGCTATGGACTTCGGAACGTGGTGCGGACACCGTCAAGTTCCACACAGAACACACAGTACAATGACCAACTAAGCTGTGTGCGAGAGGCCATGCTGCCAGACGTGTTATTTAACGCGGAACAAGGCGTTGATGCACTGATTAAGCATTGGATGTGCGTATCGCTCCGATTCGAAGACGTCCAAGTAGAGCTTGAGGAGATCAAGAAAGGAGCCGCAGACTCCCTGCTTGCCACATCTACAACAAGCATTACCATCCAGGAGCGCACTTTACGCAGCGTGTTCCCCCACTTGTGCATCGACATGGACGACTCGCCACTCGCGAAGATATTAGTGGGCCAGCGGATTCAAATGCGAGGGTGGACGTGTTTCGAGTGGGATCCAACGTTTGGACGGGTGACCTGCATAACCAACGTGGCAGACTTGCTGACCCCGTTGCTCAAGCTTGTAGGAAACCTAGAGAGCGTGTCGCGGATATTCGATGGCGCCCTTACATCCCCGAGCTTTCAGTGGAAAACAACACGATAATTCGTCATTAACGGCGAGGTAGTTCCTATAATCATTCAGTTTTGGTCCCTGATGATCCTATTCCACCCCGGTATTTCTCTCGTGCAATAATAATAATATGCGTACTTAACTGTGATGGTTACAGAATGGTGGTCGTTTAGTAATAGTAAGATAGCAGCTACTATTAGGAAACACTAGCTCCTCGATCAAAGATATACTATTATGAGCCCGGGATATGTAATGCCCATAAACTCCCTCCTTCAGTGGGCTTCCTATTGCAGATGTGGTTCAATAATTAGATTTTTGAGACACCGCGAGACAAGGAACTGGAAACAAGTTATTTCCGCTTTTACGCTCGAAACCTTTTTTCCCGAGGC